ATATCAATGATGACTTTGTACTCATCAGGGAGAGACAAGGTCAGGCTTTGAAAGAGTGATTTATCTGTACACAAAGCACCGGCTGAAGCATCCGCAGATAAGAGCTTTCGTCGAAGATCCTTGAGCTTATCCCATGCACCTATAATAGTCATATCAGGGGTATCGTCGAAAGAGAAGGTCTTGATCTTGAGGAGGTACTCGTCTGCTGCGATATCATCGATTCTGGAGTATTTGACGGCTAGATAATCCCAAAGTTTCTTTGCTGTATCATATTCGTCCACTAAAGCCTCATCATCGTCAGATAATGAGCGACAGATGTAAGATAATGCACTAGCGTCGTCCTTAAGAAAGGTGGCCTTTTTGTCGATATTGAGTCGAATCTTTGTAGTGGTACTGCCGCTGCCGCTGGAGACTTGAAGTTCTTCGAAATCCTGGATTAAGTTGTCGGCTGCTGCAATCCGTGCATATTCATGCAATGTCTTTTCGCATATATAGAACCAACCTTTTCCTCGAAGTTGAATTCTTATTTGACGAGTCCAGCGTTCGTGATTCTCTTGAGTGAGAGGAGGGATGCGCTTGGAGTAATCCTTGGATCCAGTGTCTTCGTTCATTTTGAAGGTTCTGCAAGTAGAAAGCTTGCGTCGATGACCTAGGCGTGATTGATGGTGGAATGAAAGAGTGGAAGAGGAACTGTTTAAGACTGCGCTGTCCCGATTGGGATGTACTAGTGTTTGAAGGGAGAAATTCTCTTCAAGGCGGGGTAATTAAGAATAGTGAATTTTGATTTGTAGATAATGATTTTTGAAGTGATATCGAACACTATGTAGCAGGTGATGCTCTTCAGCGTTAAGCTGGAATGAATGGTCTTTTCAGTAATAACTCGTAGTTTTCTTACTTGAGGAAAAGGCGCGATGTAAGTGGTTACTTCGCTGTCGCTGCTCAGCAATCTGTTTGCTGTGCGCACCTCGTATGTTGACGTCGCGTTGCGTAGGAGCTTCTCGTCGTCAACCTCTCCTTTGGCAACGTAAGCTATTCAAAGAGCTTTCGGCCTTAGTCTTACTGCAGAGCTACCGGGCTCATAACCTGTTCACAATAAAGGAGCAGGCCAGTGGAATGCATGTATTATTGACTATGTAGATTAATTGTACTAAGGTAAAATCTAACTACGAAGTGGAAGTGATATATGCACAGTAGCTTAGAGCACGTGCCACAACTTCCAACAGTATATAATATTACTACAAAATATCGATTTCGATACTACCTTATATAATAGATAATACATTATTAATTACAATTGAAAAAGTAGTGATTCTTTAATATAAAATATATATTATTAAGGTAATAATATTTTAATATTATTATATCTACTATTTTAATCTTATTTAATCATTTAGCCCTACAATATAGTTTTATTCTCTATATTAATAGAATGATTTAATAGGTTTTAATATATTATGTTCTATATTAATAGAGTAATCTAATAGAAGAAAAATGAGTAGAAGATATTAGGCTTTAAAAAGAAATTATATACTATTAATATATTATAAGAAAAGATGAATATAAAACTTATAAGTAATAAATTAAAGATTATAATAAGATTTCTAAAGAACTCAAAGTATTAGAAAATAAAGGTAATTCTTTGAGAAAAATATAATATTATAATTAATTATAGCTTTTATAATATTTTGAAAAGAGTTAAATAGAAAAAAAAGAATTTTTATAATAAAATAAAAAGTATAGGATTTTTATAAATATATTAAGAGATTTAATAAAAAAAGGTTTTTGAATATAATAGATCTATAATATAAACAATTCAAAGGATTTAAAAGAATTATTTGAAAGGTTACTTATAGGTTTTAATAAGAAAGTTTAAAAAAGAATAGATTTTTATTTCTTTTTCCCATCTACCTTATTCAATTAGAATTATATATAGGTATATCGCATAGTCTTAGTATAGCTAGATAGACTAAATCGATTAAGAATTTACTACTACTATTATATATATAACGCGCAAAGTAAGATTACCTACTAGGCAGACTTATAGATATATACCTAAGCATACAACGAAATAAACGAACTCAGATACTAACTCGCATTTATATAATACTATACAACATATATATTCATCTCCTCCGGAATTCAGTATTCGTTATAGAGAGATAGGTACTAGATAGATACTAGATAGATACTAGATAGATACTAGATAGATACTAAATAGATAGATCTACCTATCTAGTAGATATCCATATTTTAGGCTCGCTAGATAAGGTTACCTACCTACCTACTCTTCGCAACCCTCTTTTCCTTTTCCTTTTCTGTCTCTGTTTCTTTGATTACAGTATCATACAACGCTTGGATCGTTAGGAGGTAGTTGGATAGGTTGACTCTAAATTCGCAGTAAGCTTTATTATTGTGTAGCCCAACCAAATCAATCTTGGAATCGAGAAAAATTCATAACCAAGGTTCTTGCATGTGATTTTGATCGACCGTTTCGCTGCTTGGCATACGAGGTCTGGAGGTAGACATGCTCGATGAAAGAAGAGGATTTTTTTTTGTTGGTGTGGTAAGGTTAGGTAAATATAAATATATATATAATGTTTATACACACACAAATATAGGTATATAAAAATCTCGACGTGTGAATTTTCGAATTTGACTCTGTAATGGATAGATAAGTACGAACGCGGGATGTGTATCGATATCTACGGATTCGGTATATTTATCTATGATCCATACTTAGTGTACGAAGTACTGGTGCGATGATATGATAGTTTATCTTTGAAATTACTTGTGTATAATCTATCCAGATTCCAACGAGTCTACCTACCCCGCCGCAATCAGTCAATCAAATACTACCTAGGTGGCTCCACTCCACCCAAGCTACCCAAATTGAATCTGTCATCGTCTGTTGACTAGGTATGTATGGTAGGTGGGACGCACCAAAGGAAAATAAAATCGAATCAAAGTTCATCCAAGATTTACCTAGGGAACTGAGGAACTTACTCATCATGGTATGTGGTGGGCTGGGTAGTTATGCTATTTTGTGACTGTAGAGTGCAGGCTAAAGAAGATAGGGGATGCTAAGTAGGTAAATGGCTCTGAAAATGGAAATGTATGTACCTAGTATGTAGATCCGAAGTTGGGGATGTGGAATGGAATGGAGGGAAGGAGGGGAAAAGGGAAAAGAGAAATAAGGGTTCTTGCCCTTGTCTCGTGATTTTGGGGGGAGGGGGATTGATATGATTTGATTTTGCTACGGTAAGGTATTGGTAAGGTATTGGTAAGGTAAAGTAAGATATTGGTAATAGTGGAAGAGGAAGAGACTAGTTATGTATGTACATTGTACGTAGTAAGTGAGTTGTAGATTGGTGAGGTGGCATTTTTGGAGTGTGGGGAATGGGGGGAGAGGTTTGTTATGAGAGGGAGATGATAATAAGTATGAAATGGATGGTTACTATCTATGGTATGATTGTTACGAAATCGGGATAGAGATTACGATGAGCACTGGCAAACGAAGAGGGGAACCTCGAGAAATGGCGGGGGTGATGGTTGGAGCGGCCCGAATTGTGGATGAGGGACGGGTGTTTGAGGATGATGTGATGAGATTGGATAGGATAGGGATTGAGGTAGAGAATCGAGAATGAGAAAGTGGAGTACGTGAGCGTAAGGGTAAGTGCCCTAATCTGGATTTATCTTATTTGTTGAGGGGTTGAATGGTGAATGGTGAATGGTGAATTGGATTGGATTGGATTGGATTGAATCAGGTTTGGGAATTGAGTTTGGTAGGTTGGGTTGTGTATTGGCATGGAGGCGTTGTTGATGTGGAGTAAGTGTCAGTGATGGTGGGGTGGAAAAAGAGATTGCTCCCGGTGACTGTCTTGATATGTGAGTGTCGAGTAGATTCGAAAATTCATATATTTGTTATTTTCATCATATTCGGATGGATGCTGGTCGAAGATTCTATGGGATGTGAAGTGAAGTAAGAGGTGTTTATATCAAGGCCTTTGAGTATAGAGTTATGCTCCTCTTGTTGTATGTCTTAAAGTGATGAAGTTCGAGTGGACTCCTGATATCGTGAGAGTTGATTGTTAGTTCATTTATGAGTTTGTTTCCACTTGTTTACTTTGTTTTCAGTGGAAAGGTCTGTATAAAACTTGTGTTTCTTGTTGATGAGTGGAATCATCTTGACGTGATAGAGTTCGTCTTATGAGCATTGAGCGGCGATGATGCGAGGAATGGTGCTTGGCTCTTCATTGGGTCGGTTGTTAGAAGCTTGCGGTCATAGAAAGGGGGAGCGAGTTGTAGAAAGGAGAGAGCCATTACAGGACGATAAGAATCTGAATACCCGTTGAAAGTAACAAAGTTCGAGCGTCAGAAGAGCGACCATCCACCAATGAGTACTTCCTATGCGAGGCCGAACTGGAACGATGGGAATTGTTGTACAGATAATGGAAGGAGCAGCACCCAAGTAGAGATCTGATGAGACTGCAAATGCTTGTAGGAGGCACGTCACTTGGCATATATAATCATGAAAGAATTGAGTGGTATACCCCATCGATGAGTTCCTCTTTTGACTACCAAGAAGACTTCTGTGAATTATGTATCATATCAAAGCTTTGTAGAGGGTTTGGCGTGGAGTATGGGACTTGGACACAGAGTATGAGATAGGATAATTTGGGTGGTTCTTGAGTTGTCTCTGTTTGTGATTGGAATGAGAGCACATTTGTGACTCTGTCTTTCGGGAGTATCATATCAATGACTGTAACGTGTAGATTCATAAATAGGATAAAACTAATTCATACGAGCCTTTTTTTAGGCTCACTGATATTTTGATGGAAATAAAAAGGATCAAGATTCGCGGGTTTGAGAAGGGCTTTCCTTGACCTTTTCTTTTCTTTTCTCTATCATTAGCATCACGCATCTGTTCAAGGAAATTCAAATGGATTATAACTTCCTCAAGGAACACCTAGACTTACAACCACCATTAACATTAAGCAACCATGCCACCCCCAATCCGAACTTTCTGGAACCAACCTTGGGCCAGCTACAATACGGCCTTGCAGGAGTGCGATCATTGTCAACTAACGTTTACACTCTACGACTGCGGATGCGTCAGAATGACTCTCCCTCATTTCGACGAAGATCCTCTTAGTACATCATGCAGAATTTATCCTCCTTCCGAATACTCCTTCAAGCCCAAACCAACCACAAGACCCAAAATTTTCTACAAGCGAAGAAATGACGGTTGTGGAAGAGTCAATGAAAGCGATTGTAGATGGGATGCGAAAAAAGAAACACCATGTCCATATGAACTCAACAGCCGTGGAGATTGCGAAGACTATGTTCACATCTACAAGAAATGTACTCATGTAAGAATGCGCTTTGTGGGAAGGTGTCAGAATGAAGAGAATCGATATAATCGAGGAGAACCGCCGATACATGTGCCACATATTGTTGGTGGTGTTGTAGACGATTTCTGCAGTCGAGAATGCCTGGATAAACAAGCAGTTCTTGATGAGGAACAACAAACTTTGGAAGAGGAAATGGCTCGAAGAATTGAGAGTGAAGCTCAGGCAAGAAATGAGACAGAAAGATCTCATAATTATGATATGGAGACAAACAAAACCGGGCCACTCAAAGACCTCGCAGTCCGAGAACTCACGATAGTGCTTCGACATCGTCGACTTCTTTGAGATTGTCAAATTATCAGTATCGCCAGTATAGTGATGCTCAACTTGAGGAAATCGCGCGGAAAACCACTCGGAAACACAGACGCAAATAAGGAGAATAGACGCTAGGTATTGCTGACTCCTTCAAGATGAGACTTTTCGAGTTTTGTTATTTTGTAAGTTCGGCGACCACAAGTCAGTCATGTAGATGGCATGTCTTGTGGATTAATATGGATTGTTTGCTAATATTACCTGAGACTAGGGCGTTTTGTGGCATGGGGAGGATTAGGAAATAGGAGAGTTTTATGTGGAGTTTAGAAGGGGTTTGGGGGCTATTTTTTATTTGCTAGTCAGGGAGTTTGAAGAAGGGCTGGCTGTCGAACTTGGAGAAAGATCTTTGGGAAGTTCTCTCATCATTTTGCGGAAAGGGGTTTTTATGAGTTAAAGGGAAGACGTGGCTCAGTATCTTCGATATCATATGAGTGTTCGTCAAGTGCAGACTCATAAGTTGAATCATTGTGAAGGCTGTATTTTTCTTCTATCTGGGAGTCACTCTAGTTAGGCGCTAAGCGATGTATTCATGAATACCCGTCTTGAAGATTCTTTTCTAGTTTGTCTTTACATTACCAATAAGAGAGTTTTCAAAACCATTTACATTGATTGATCTTTTGATCCAAATTACCAACAATTCAAATATTTTTATTTTCAAATGCCCCGTTACTCCAAATGCACCCGTGATTCCCAATACGATAATCCGCAGCAACAACGTCAACATCAACGTCAAGGCACAGTTGACGAATACCAAATAGGAGCTATCCGTAAAGAGGATAAACAAAGAGAGCGCGAGGAATATGAACAGCGGAAGAAGCAGGCACGTCAATATGCAGAAGCTCGAGCCAAAGGAAAGGTCGATAGTGGAAAAGATCGTTCACGAGGTGAGGAAGTTAGCGGACGTCGTTATGGAAAGAATTCTTCTGGAGAAATGGGCGGGAAGAGAAGTGTTCGTTGGAAATAGAGGTTTTGAGAGGTCTTAGGCATGAGGAGGTCATCTTGCTATGCAGTGTTCGATGACGCAGCTTGGAGGTTTCTTTGGTTTCTTTAGTCACATATTTTTCAATTTTGGTGGAAATGGGGATTCTAGCATGGCTCTGTTATGAGAGGAATATTATATCAATGACTGCTAATTGCAGAGACGTTGACTCGAGATAAGACAGGTCCTTAGATTCATATTCAGATACAAGGATCTCTTGAGTCTTAGTTGGGAATCATTCTGAAGGGGTTCAAACTGATATACAGCACAGGACTCAGATTCTCAAATAAGAGATTCTTTTCTCCTTCTTCTTTACATTACCAATACGAGATTTTTTGAGAACGCTTCATATCTTTTGATCTTTAGACCAAGTTAACGATAATAAACATAATTCCATTCAAACAAAATGGTCTACTATCCACGCTCCACCTCCCAGAAAGACTACTACAATGATTACCCACCGCAGACTACTCAAGCATCTGGCTACTCTCCTTCACATCTATCTCCCCCGCCAAGACCCAACACTTATTCCCGCGATCCGCAACACGATAGCCGTAGAACTCACCCTCCTCAAACCCAGAAGTGAATCCAGCGTCCCTACTCGCCTCTCTCAAGATCACCTATACAGTACTAACGTACTGCTACTAGCCACTTATCAAAATCACACCTAAAAAAGCCATTTTACTACTTTTATTATATATAAAATCAACAATTTTAACTAGATATTTTTGTTCGAATTTTAATATATATATTATTTCGATATTAATATTCAATAAAATTACATTTTTGATACTCTTTGAATTTTTTTTAATCGTTAATTGTATTATTTAAATTTTTTTTATAAAAGTTTATAATTTTGGCTTATTTAACTAATAAATTTAAATATTTTAAAGATTTTTTTTCTTTTTAGTTTTAACTTATTATTCTTTAATATTGAAAATTATTAAAAATGAATCATACAATTTTTAATAAATTTTATTTGATCTTTAATTCAATTATATAATTATTTATATAAACTATTGGTTTTATAGTTCAAAAATTAGAAGTATATTCTGTAAGTTTTAATGAATTTTGATGTGATTTTGATAAGTGACTAGTAGCAGTGCACGGTGACTGTAGGGCCAATCCCAACCTCACGTGCGCCTTCACCAACACCTCCAAGACCGCCTCCTCGGGTTCAAACACATTCATCTGTTAATCTGTATGCTCGCGGAAATAACATCCCTCGCCATTCAGAAAGCAGAACATCCCAAGGAAATTCCGAACAGAAAAATCGGGAAAGATCTACCAGAATGGAAGCTCAAGATGAAGAGTTAAAGAGAGATGAGGAGCGGAAAAAGAAGGCAGACGAGAAATGGGAAGGAGAGGAGGCAAGGAGTAAACGTGAATACAACTCCGAGAAAGAGAAATTATATTATCGAAGTCGAATGGAGCGAGATCGAAATCGACCGGCTGATGGATGAAAGGTTAGACCTAGTAGTGCTACTGATAGAGGTTTTCACAGAGTGGGATATTAAGAGAGGGGAGTTCGCTGGGAGGGACAGAGGGTTCGAGAGCCGCGTGGTTGGTTGTTCGGGCGACGTTATCTTCAAGGGATATCACTGCCAAATTCAAACCCATGTTCAAGGTGCTTGGCTCGATATTTGACACCTTTTGTATTCGTAAACAAGGGTTTCATAGCTAGGAGTCATTTCAGAACCTGAATATATCCAGAAGGATTGGAACTCGCTGGTCAGAGGGATCTTTTTCTTATTATCTTTTTGTTTACAATACAACTTTACTTTCGGTGCTTTACAATATCATGAGTTTTTGAGAATTTGGACACTTTAATCTTCTATCGTCTATCAATGTTAGGGTTTTGGTGAATCCTTGAGGTATCTCATACAGTAAATCTCCTACCAAGTGATGTACATGTGCGATTACTTGCTATGCCCGCAGCTCTGAGTATACTACAGTTGAATCATTAGAAAGTCACAATTAATTACCCAATACACAAATATCAATGATGTACGATCACTCTTGAAGTTTTGTTTAGGAGATGGCTACACCTCCGAGTCTTCTTATTATACCATGACTGGCAAAGGCAAAGTCTTATTAGGCGTTGACTGATTTGTTCTGGATTTTTTTCTGGATTTTTTCTGGATTTTTTCTTCATGAGTGTCATGTTCATTGGATCATTGGAATTCTTAGTATCATCCAGCAGTCATCTGTAGTCTGGAGGGGGTTATAAGGATTTAGGATCGCTGGTTTGGGGATCTCTTCTTTCTTTCCTTTACATCAACAACTGAAGTCTATCTGGAGACTTCAAACGAGACATTAAACGTGTACAGTATCATCAGATAAAAACAAGCATACGTAAATTCCGAAGATATCATACAACAACTACCACCACCACCAGGATATCCGCCACCAGCTCCAAAGTTTCACTCCCCAGGCGTCACAACCTATGGCAACTTCCTATCATTGTCCTTCATACAACAAGTATGCAACCCAATACGTTACCCCAGCGCCGCAGAGTGACGTAACTTCCCAATGGTCCGATACAAATTCCACCACGAACTTGTCTGAAACAACATCTGAAACAATATCTCTAACAAGATCAGAGATAGAGAGGCTGATTCATGAAGACAAAGAGAGGGATCGCCGACATTGTGATAAATGGAAGCAATGGGCGCGTGAACAGGATGCAGAAGACAGATTAGCATTCGCAGTCGAGAATGCTCGTAAAGAGGAGGATAGATGTAGACTCGAGGCACTGGTGGATAGACAGACATGGGAATATGAGAAACTAAAACTGGAAGCTGATAGGGATCGGAGGGTTTGCTTACGAAAACTAAAAGCTGATGAGAAGTGGGAAGCTGAAAGACAAAGAAGGGAAGCTGACAGACGGGGGAAGGGGGGGTCACGCACAAATCCCTCAAGAAATGATCACCCATCAAGGGAGCATACCACTAGATACGTGACGGGAACATCAGGTCGACGACTTCCCTATACGCCTTTGTCGGATGAAGCCCTCATCGGTATCGCAAAGGAAAGCGAGAAGAGAAGTAAGCGTAGACACTAAATATTATAGGCAGAACATCAAGTCGAGAGAGATATGTGGTACTTCACTCCTACCAAATGAATATTGCTGACAGTAATTAGTACAATTCGGTCCGTCAGGGCCCTTGACAAGTTTAGTTATTTGGGAAAAGATATTAATATTTCGTGGATCTCGGAGTAGAATGGAGGATTTTTTTGGAGGTATCTCAGAGGAAGTTTAATGTGTATTTCGAAGAATTCAACTATGTTCAAAATGCGCCACGTTTTGATGAAGTGAAGGTAAGTTACCTATAACATGCAATTGACCAATGATGACAATTCTATCAGCGGACATGTTACGGTCTTGACAAATAGTGAATATTAAAGTAGAGACTCGCTGAAGACTGAACGATTTTTATTCCCCTTGGAGTTGTTGATCTTACGAATATTTGAGTTTATGCTTGTTGGATACCTTGCCTCGGTAAAAATAGGAGAGACCCTACATCTCATTTGACGCAACCATCAATTTTCAATATTACTTTGACTTCCTTTCGATCATGAGTCGATCATGAGTACAATATCACAAATGGTTGTGTAGTAAAGTCAGTCACTCATATAGTAATTATGGAGTCATTATGGATTGTGTTTTTGATTCATAAAGAGAATTTGACATTATCTTGGAGTCAACATGGTGGACACTTAATCCTGTTAAAGGGTTCAGCTTACCCTAGACTCTCTTCTTTCTTTTAATTTTCTTTATACCGACAATACACTCCTGTCTACCGAACTTCGAATCGTTTACATTACATATTTCTTGACAGTACACCACTCGATCTCAGATATTCATGTCTTTCAAGACCTGGCCCGAACAAACGTATCCTGGTTGCGATGTGCATTTGCCAGAATGCAAAAAATGTATATTAGAGTACTGGATCTATCCCTGTGGGTGTATCAAATTTACCTGCCCTGATGTTCCTAATATTAGGGTAAAAGGTAGCTGCTTGACATGTTATCAGTACCTGCTCGATGACGGGAAAACCGGAGCCAACTACAATACCAGAGATCAAGTGCCATGTACCACTGAATACTTGTGGAAAATGGGAATGTCTGAAGAACTCCCTGCTTCCGACATGTCGGAAATGCACGACTGAGGTCATCATCTACCAATGTGCTCACTTGAAGGTCAAGAAATCACACCGCTGCGAAGGGTGCCGTCCTAGCAAGAACGAATATCCCAGCAGTCGACCAATGCTACTACTCAAACCTCATAATGAAAACTTATATAATACTATTGTCTGTGCAAATTATTTGGACCACGAAGAACGTCGCGAAAAGCGAAAGGAGTTGATTTCACAGCAAACATTACCAGTCCTTTTCAACTCTCAGCCAGAGAGCCACAGGCGACTAAACCCTGATTATCCCGATAATCCGGACGCTACCTTTCGGAGACCAACAGTTAAAATACAGCAAGGACCAATACTCACGCCACTGCCAGCCTATGGAGATTATAGATACACTGAGGGATATCCGCATGGCCAACCGAATCCCCAATATATCCCCGTCCCTGGCTCTGCGATACCACCAGCTTGGGGACAGCCACTACAACCATTGATAAGAGGGGAAAATCAGCAAAGACACGCAGAATGGGAAAGAGAACGACAACGAGAAGAAGCCCGTGCAAGTAGGGCGGCCGACAGAAAAAGTTTCGAGGAAGCTGCCCGTTATGAATCAACCTTACCCCGAGGGAAAAGACGCCCGAGGGGGCATTAAAAATCGAGGTGATGATCAAGCCGCCATGGTAGATATTTGTCGAGTGATAGAACGTACTTAGGCCAGTGGAATCTTTCAGTGGAGTTCAGATTACTGCTTATGGGAGATGTTTCTTGGTGAGTTCCTTGATGACTCCATATGCTCTAGAAGAAGATTACTAACTTACAGTCAGTGTCAAGGTTCCGATTAAGGGGGGATGACTGCACCTTGGAGGAATGTGTATCATGGTGTGAGTCTGCACTACACAGTCATAATATGGTATTAATTGAATCATTATGGAATATGTTTCTTTTATTTGGGAGTCACTTGGAGTCTGGAAAGGGGGTTATATGGGTTGAGTCCTGCAGGTCTGGGATTTCTTTCTTCTTCTTCTGTTTTCTATCAACAACACAAATTTACTTTCATTGCTTTCAAATATCACACATCTTTTGAAACATACCTATCTTGAAGTACACGCTTGTGTCAAATCGTATCATGTCAGAAATCCTCTATAAAATCGTTAACGATGGCTTCATCGAAGTGACAAGAGCTTGTGCCTCTGTTCCACGAAATGTGCAGCTACCAAGATGCAAAACTTGTTACATACACTACCAGTTCTTTACTTGCAGATGTTACAGAGTAGAATGTCCTGTATGGGCAGCGAACGAAGCGAGCTGCACGACATGTATTCCATCGGAATATGAAGGTGGACAACCAGAGCCAACTACCAGACCCACAATCACTGCCACTCTGATAGAGTTACCTTGTTCAAAGCCCGATTGTATCAGGTGTTGCGAGAAAGTGTGTCAAAATGAAGGGGCTGGTGGGCCGTGCAAGACTACGATTTCTGTTTACGCGTGCGGAGATTTTGAAATAAAGACTCCTAATATATGTATATGGTGCAACAGTACTTATGCGCAGACTCGGCCGCAAATCGAGTTAAAGCTTTATACTGTGGCTGGTGGAGTCTGTGACAACTATTCCCAACACGAACACTATCGAAGAGAACGGGAGTGAACGCGGGTTGCCGAAATAGAGATTTCGAATGAAAGATTTCTAGAACGGAGACGCGCTGAAAGTGCACGACTAAGGCTGCAGAAACAAGCCCAAAGAAATCTAAAGTAATATCAACACCCCCAAAAATGAAAATGGCGAGAAGCTAACAGCATTCAGAGACTCGCGTAGACCTAGAAGAGCTCAAGCATCAACATCTGCATCAACATCTGCACCAACATCTGCATCAACATCATCTAGACATCGCCATTCCTCGCGTGGAAACCGAGGATCAGGTTCGCCACGAGACTCTGGTTCTAGTCCCAGCCACAATTTGTAAATACCAGAGTCGACTGAATCAGTAACGCATAACATCGATAGCCACAAATGACACAAGCTTGGGGGTATCTATACTGATGCTTGCTAAAAAAATTCTACTTGGTGAGTAGCTCTACCTTATATCATTGATTTAACATCTATCGCTAGATCCTGACTTGCAGATACCCGCAGGTATTTCTATCGCTAAGGCTGGAGAATCGCCTGTCCGGTCGTGCAGTCGAGTCATCGCATGACTTTCTATTAATATGACTCGACCACCACATCCCCAAATTCTCCCAGCAATCAAAATTCATCACGTTCTAACTTCTGAATCAGTGCAGGTCCCCGATTCATATCCATGTTATCTTCCCATTCATGTTCATTTCCTTGGAAGGAGTTTTTCTTACTGTGTTGCTTCTCATCCCATTTTCTATCCATTTCTTAAGGAGGAGTTCCGGTAATATTGTGTTTTGAATGGAGGTTCCATTTCATTTGTCCTTGGCGTCATTCTCTCAGGGAGGACTCGAATAGCAGGCTATTTTAGAATGAGGTCAAATCTCTCTATCCATGAGTCTTCATTTGGATGTGAAGCAATTGTGCGTCTTTGAGTGGTGGTTTTGTGTTACATGAAACGTACAGATGTGAAATACAGATGTGGACTTGATGTCTGAAAGTTGCCATTATCCTACCACTCACTAAAAGGAAAGCTCATAAAACAAACCATTACGTATACAATCCACAGTCCATCTCAAACCCCCTCAAAGCCACCCCTGAGCGTTAAACTTATTTCCCTTTTCCTCCTTATGGTACTTTTCATAAAGGAAATTCGCACCCACAATCGTCAAATTTTCCTTCCCAGCCCATTCTCTAATTCCACTTCCCGGTTTCTCAAAACCCCAATGTTGCCTCTCCTTGGGTCCCTTCAAATCTACATTATCACCCTCAAGCAACACAAATACATATCTGTGTTTTCCTGTTCCTTTTGGTGGCGCTGGTGCTTTATCTATTTCTTCCAAGTCAGCATGGCCTATCCTCTTTACCAACTTCCTTATTCCCCTCACACTGCTCACACTGCTCACCCAGATGAAAAACAAAAGAACAACAAAGAAAAGAAACTCACAATCCACAACCCCCACCTCCTCCAACTCACTCCCACTCCACTCTCCACTAACCCCTTCCCTTCCAACCACAGCCTCAGGAATCCTCGCAATCCAATGACACATCTCAGACATACTATCATCGTCTCTCGATGGTGCATCCGGATCTGTAAGGATAAGCGTCAAACCGCCCTTAACATGATATTTTCCAGGACAGAAGACTTGGATCGAGGGCGCGGATTGAGTTTGCGAGGGGCGGAGTTTATTGCCTAGTTTCACTTTCTTTGAGGAAGACGAGGAAGAAGATGGAGAATAGGAGGGAAGAATATAACAAGTGGGGATAAAGGGATCGAGAACATCGGGGATGATAGATGATTTTTTGAGACTGGACATCAAAGTGTTAGCATGGTGATGAATTATTTCAGGTTGAGGACGACAGGTACGGACACTTTCTTGATTCCTTTCAAGGACTTGACGTTCTCGGTACGGAATCCATTAGATCCAGAAATATCATAACTGTACGATTCTGGAGATAAAACAAGTGCGGTGCTGAGCTCAATGAAAGCTGGTAGAAGAAGCGTAAGGGACTTGAGTAGTTGCATTTTCGTTATATGAATTGAATTGTTTGGAATTGAATTTCTGCTTGCAATGTAAGAATAAATGAACAGAAATCAGTTGATGTTGAAATCACACTTCTTTATATAACATCCGTTCATTGTAGCACCCGTCTGGCTGGGCAGACGTTGGCGATGACGTCGACCTGCCCTAATTCGAGGGGTAATCACGTGATACGTTCTCTGAATCGCGATCACGACGGTGATGCAAGAACTATCCTCAAAATAGTGAGGAGCTCTCCAAGGTGTTTGTGAAAAGAATATCATAGACCTCTGAATGGAGGGTTTTCGGGAGATGATCTGCAGATTCAGAATACATTGTACAGTACTTGTATCTTAGTCCTCGCTGCGCATGGATTTGGTTCATGACCAGGAACATACTCCAGATCCCAAAGCGCCTTTTTGAGTTTCCAACGTTGGATCGGCTGGCACATTGCCAGATGTGGAAATTCTTTGATATCAGTACAACTGCTTTTCTCACGTCAAAGATGTGTAATAGAAGATAACTCATAATGTGTGGGAGAAGAATAAAATGGTCATGAATTATTTACTTGATCAAAGCCGTTGTAAAGGAACAGCTTCGATACCTCTAAGTTTTAAATGATCTTTCAAAGTCGATCCCCGCATTACGCCAATCATCCATGAATCATACATATCTCGAGGCTCATTACATGATCATCTATGAGATTTCCTTGACACGACATTTCCATCCGGAGCCAGCCTCAAGTAACGGGAGACTATCAATTGTTAGATGTGGCATGAAAAAGAGAAAAAGAGGATTAAAACATACCTAGCACCGAGACACCATCCAAGCTCATTGCCCTTGAGCTTCTTTGCAATTTTGACCTCTCTGTCAATTGGCATTTCATAACCAGTATGCAACAAAGCCATCATGAAGTTCAAATCAAGACACCATTCGGGTCTACCTCTCAACTCCTTTATGGCATCAGGGATACCAGTAAACATATCCCAATGAGATTCGCCACCACAAACTTGGCTAGTAAGATCGTGCATCTCTCGTAGAGTGAAGGATTCTGGCATTCCGAGTGGATCGGTGCGGTCGAAGAAGTATGAAAAGGTGTAGACATCTTCATGTTGGAAGGTCTTCTCTAGAGAAGGTTGATGAACACCATTGAAGGAGCAAGGTGCAACTTTACATTCGGCTTCTTTATACAACATCTTTTCTGCGAGTTTGCGGCATTGAGCTGGGGATGGAGAAGAAGGACCCTTCATGACGAATTCATTCTTCTCGCCCAACTTAGCACGAAGAGGATGTTTCTCGTCAAATGCAATATCAACTGAACGGTTCATGCCTGGTGCAATACAAGGATTGATGATTGGCGATGCGGTCCAGGAGAGGTCTGAAGGATTGGCTGCGTGAATATCATCGATGAGAGTCTTGTGAATTGTTTCACGGGCTGCCATTAGACCATATCCCAAGTGAGAATGCTGGTAAAGTTCGAAGTCTCTTCCGCCAAATGTAAGCTTGTATTTATGGTCACCTTCAGCCATCTTCTCAGGTAGTTTGAACTTTGGTTCAAAAACAACTTGGGTCGAACCTCCACCAAGATCGAAAACTGCTGCAGTATCTCCAGGAGCTGGGCCTCCAATGTTACCGAGTAAGAAGTTGGTTGTGATCCAAGCGTAGACACCCTCATCAGTACCATCCATGACTTGGACTCCACCCTTTTCGTCGGATACAACGGCGAAAGGATAGACAGTCTCCAATCTAGTACGAACAGCCTTGAGAATATTGTTGCTCAATTCCGGACCAAGTTTTCTTAAACCAGCAGTAGCTTTGACGGCCACAGGAGTACAAGACTTGAGTGCATCAGGGACAGTTTTCACTGCAACATCCATAAGCATATCAAGACTCTTTGCAGCACCTTCAGCATCAGATCCATAAGAACTCAATCCGGAACCGCCCTCTTTCTTTTCAGTCATTTTGAACTCCTCAAACTCCAACTCTGGTGTAGGGCCGCAGTTGTTAAATTTGTATACGTGAACTCGAGATCCAGTACTGCCAGCATCAATCATGATGGCATATTGAACAATCGGCTTCGACTTGCTGTAGGATTTCGAGCACTTCGTTGTCCCATAAGTCGAATCAGATGGAGATTGTCCATCATTACCACCACTCTTAACTGTATCGACGGCACCTTCGACAGCACCTTCGACAGCACCTCCAACTATCCATGTTAGAAAATGATATATTGGAAATTTTTGTTGTGGCATACCAGTGTTTGATACCTGTGTACCGCTTGGGGACAGATAATAGAACAGGAAGACTACGAAGAGCAGGATTCCTCCTGTCTTCAAGTATCTGGACCGCTGACTTTGGGTCATTCTGGCGTTCTTTGATTTCTCCAGTTTGGAAGCGGCGCTTTCGTTTGCGCCCGAACTACTATATCTTGCAAATTTCTCGTGAGGGTCGTGTGATGTACTCTTCGATGGGAGAGAGACAGAAGTACGTCGCATCTGCGAAAGAGCGACTATGAATGTAAGTAGAACTAATCACCTAGACTAATTACGCACTCAAGCCAAGTAAATACAAACTAAGAAAAAGCGAGTGAAAAGTCTGGTAAGAGAAAGGATTGGTGATGTTCCAGATCCTATTACTTAGGTATATTTTTAGGGAATGAGAAAAGAACAAAGCTGTTCCCTTTTTTAATTTCATAAAAATAAACTTAAGTAAGGGCAGAAATGGAAATGAGAAATAGGGGACGTTTTGCCTTCTATCCTTGCATTGGATTTGAGTGCTGTGGCTAATAAATTTGGGATTATGGTCATGAGTGATTGGTTGATGTGTTGTTAATTAGAGTGAAGGGGCTTGTGGAGGTGTGGAGGTATCAACGCTATCATGATAAAGATTTTCATCTAAGTTCGAAGCTTATCGAGAGAAGCGTGATGTAAAAAGTGCTTAGTCACAACCGCAGCACTCCCTTCAACGGCGGAGTTTCTTTATCAATGTGTTAATGACACCCTTCGACCGATTTTCCGAAACATCGTCAGCTCGAAGTTGCCTTCGGGTGATAAATCTTATGTCTTTCATTCATAGAATGATATAGAACAGATACTATACCCTACATGAAATCGTTCATGATGCTACCTCAATAACTAGCCTAAGTTTGGTTTCTCTTATTTTGCTGTTCTCTTTCCTTACTACTTTCCTCTCTCCCTCTCTCTTCTACTACCTAGGTAACCTGTGCATATACCCTTTCTACCCAACACGCTCAAAAATCACAGCAACAGAATAATGAACGTTCAGCTATATGTCTATGATCTGTCGAAGGGCCTAGCGCGCAATCTGTCAGGAGCTTTATTGGGAGTCCAGATTGACGCTATCTACCACACCTCTGTTGTTTTCGAGGGTATTGAATATACTTACGATGGAGGGATCAAAACTGTCAAGCCTGGCGAAACTCATCTGGGTAAACCATTGCAGATTATAGAGTTAGGGAAGACAGATCTACCTATGGATGTGATTCTGGAATATCTGGACTCTTTGAAAGAAATCTACACCTTTGAGGTATAATTCTCCTACGATGGTAAATCTCTAGTCATAAGCTAATTGCATGTAGGCGTATGATCTCTGGAAACATAATTGTAATAACTTTTCGAACGATTTTGCTACATTCCTGGTTGGCCAGGGAATCCCCGAGCATATTACGAACCTCCCAGAAACTGTTCTCAACACTCCCTTTGGCCGAATGATTCAACCGCACTTCGATGATTATGTTACTTTGAATAATATGAATAATGGCGGTCTTTTGGGTATCCAAAATACAGAGGATCCGCAGCAGCAAGCATCGATGTCACAGGTTCGACATGCCCAAACTTCTGCTGAATTGAACAATCTCTTGAACTCGGCCAGGAAAAAATGCGCAGTTATTTTCTTCACTTCCCATAATTGCGGTCCATGCAAACCTCTGTATCCTGTCTTTGAGCAACTCGCAAAGGATGCAGGACGCAAAGCCGTTTTCATAATAGTTGATATTGCCCGGTCATATGAGATTGCCACAAGATACAGTGTTACCGCGACGCCGTCTTTTGCGACTTATTTACAAGGCGAAGAGGAAAAACGTTGGGCGGGAGCAGATGTAGCAACTCTACAACGAAATGTAGGGGTTCTGGTACAAATGGCATTCCCGCCACATGCACATGAGTCTTTACGTTTACCAGCACTTCGTGCACCAAATATGTTGCCAGTTATTTACACTAAAGTTCCGCCACTTGAAAAGCTCAAAGCAAAGATGGGACCTGCTGCTGATATTCCAGCAGTCAAAGGAGTTCTCCACTTTGTATCAGAGGGACAATCAAAGCCCGCAGCACAGACTCATCTCCCGGATCTGGATTCTTTTAGTTGGTTTTTACGAGAAGCTCCTTCTAAATTACCTACTGAAGTCATGTTTACAATCGTTGATGTCCTTCGATGTGCTCTTGTGGATCCAAGACTTAGTGGTTACTATGCTGAGGAAAATAACCACAAAACTATTGCTCCACTATTCACACACATCAATAGTCTTAAAGAATGCCCCTACTCACTCCGTTTAGTCGCACTTCAAACAGGTTGCAATTTATTCACAAGTCCCTTATACCCTCAACACATTCTCGGCTGTCCGACCCTAACCAACCCACTCGTTCAACTAATCACAACCTCGCTGCTTGATGACGCACATCATAACGTTCGTGTTGCAGCCGCAAGTCTTGCCTTCAATATGGCGTTTGCCAATTCTAGTCTCCGTATAGAAGACCACAAAGAAGTATTACCTGAGAGCGAACAAATAGAACTAGCCGCATCTTTATTAGAAGCTATACAAGAAGAAAAAGAATCTCCAGAAGCATTGAAGGGATTCTTATTGGCGTTTGGACATTTGGTATTTGGAACTCCGAAAGATGGAGAGTTGGTGGATTTGTTGAAGAGTATGGATGCTCAACGGACCATCCTGGGTAAAGCGAAAGCTTTTCCTAAGGAAAGTTTGATCAAAGAGATTGGACAGGAGTTACTTGGGAAGGGCTTAGAATAGGTGTGCTTGTGTAAATACTTGGTGTTAGTGGGCAATAGATCGAACAATCTACAACTTTTCCTAAAATTGCAAGCCATCACTTCATGCGTTTATTTGTTTGTGATAACCTGTTTCGGCATTTAGTAAGGAAGTGGACAACTTAGCAGTTTAGCTCGAGCATGAATACGATGTTCCACCGACACAGGCCATAGGCTTCTGTCTACTCTGACTACAGTCTGCAGTAGAGAATTCTGAACGCAAAAATCCGCAAAGATACCCACAAGATATTGATACGTTAGATTATTAGATAACATTCCAATACGCTTACCATGAAAACTACATTCCAGATTTTATCCTCCGCAGTCGTGTCATCCCGTTGTTTTCTTTTCCTTATCCTAACTTCAATTTTACATGATTCCATTGTCAAATTCTGACTCGGATCTCTTAACCATTTATTCTTACCTACCTGTTGGATAGTATTATCTTTGGCTTCTCTGTTTGTACGGTATTCTCACATCCCTTCCAATATTACTACTCACTTTATGACATACCAGATATCGGGTATCAGGTACTATTCACCACAATGCTCGGTACTCACTTTCTAGAACGCAACATGCTGCCGCTCTCCTTCCATTCCTACACTCACTTCACATCTCCCAATCACTTACCTCACCTCACCTTTTCACTCCATATCCATATGCATATCCATATGCATATCCATATCCACACTACCATCAACAGAAGCAACGCCAATCTTTCCCCATTTTTCACCTTGCGATACGAAAACTCCAAGTTCTCATTTTGGTAAAATTAGCTTCAGGTTTCAACTTTGGGCATTCTCACTTTCTTCGTCGGTATGTTTTTGTTTTTGTTTATTTACTTTTACTTTCTCAGTTTATGGATTGAATGGGTTTGTTTACAGTAGGTAGGTATGGTTTACTTTTTGGAATTAGGAAGGTTGAAGTTGATTGGGAAGTGTTGGAATTCGGACGAGGCTGAGGCTGAGGGGTTTGAGATGAGGGGTTAGTTTTGGGGGGTGGGAGTGACAGAAGCTTGGGGATGGGAGATGGAGTATGTGAGTGAAACGAGTAATAGATTTGATTTCAACATGGCGGAGTGAAGTGTAAATACTGTATATTTCATGAGAGGCGATGAATCAATTTGTAATATTGCGCTTTACTGTGCTTTACATACACTTCTAGACTGCAGGGCGTGAAGCTTCGAAGATCAATTCTTCTTCCAACTTTTCCCTTCACGACATTCTTAGAACGAAGAGATAGAAGAACTATCAATCGTGCAGTACCTATTAAAACCCAACATCTAGAAATTATTCATTACTCAAACACATGTAGAGATACCAAATCCATTGAAATGTAAAACATAATGAGCGAGATTAGTAATGTTCATCGCTTCTGATGGTAAAGTTTCGCTTACAATTTTGGTGCACGGAGGGGTGGGGAGAAGAATTGTGCATTTGGGTCAGGATTCGTGGTGAATGAGTAGTTGTGTGAATTAGTAACGCAGATACTGGTAGATTTTGAGGGAGGGTTCGTGGTGTTTTGGAAGTGTTTGGGAGATGTTTTATGTATGGTTTATGGCTATAGTAATTGAGGAGAAGGAACTTGATCAATGTTGTAACTTCCAGTGACACTCTAGAATGTCGGGCGCGGAGCCCAGCGTTTTTTTTTTTCGTTCATGAAGTACAAATTCGATTCCTTTACAGTTAATAGAACTTAGACTCTGATGGATAGAAGAACTGAGCAAGATCTCATATCCCCTGTCTAATGCACAACCTTGAGAGTTCTCCATGTTGCTGGTCCGATATTTGCAGATGAGGCCAGGGGGAAAGAAGGAAATATTGGCCATGTGGCAGACATGCACAGCGAAGGCATCGTAGGTAGTAACAACAGGCGTGTATACTTATTTCGAGCTGCGGAGTCTTATGCGTGATTTCCAAGCAGAGGTTTTGCTTGTATCACCACCTCATGGTAGCTGCAGACCTACGGGGCCGCAAGGAGATCAATTGATGTCCCTCATGTATCTGATTTGTACATCCCAAAGGAGTAATGGACTCGATGTTTCTCAAGTACTCACCTTGCCCCGCATCTCCTCAACTTCTCCACTTCTCCGCACCGACCCCACACTTCATCTCCTTCCGAGACCGCACTTATGCACCGCGTCCGGATTACGCAATATCAAGGGTCCAAGAACCTATAAGAAAGGGAGCTTGTATCTCCAAATCTTGTCGACAACAACAAGCTCTCTGAGGCCGAGATAACTCTACATGGCTTCCGTTTCTCCTTGTATGATCCCACACCCTGACCTTGCCACCTGGTAAAATCCTATAACAATGGCCGATGGATGCTCTATCAACTATGGACCACTTGCTTCGAAGCCTTTCTGCAACAATCAGCATGGCATGGCGTGATGGCGAGCTGCTGCTACCTCCAGCGGGTTTCTAAAGGGCGCCGAGAGCGGAGTGGGCCTGACAGAGGGATTGAACTCTGCTAACCATCACAGGTAGCTCCAAATAAGACTCGAGATAGAAGTACGCCGGCAGCTTGCAGGAAGGATATCTCTTGTCAGAAGCTGCAACTGGATACAAGGTCTTCTGCGACCAGACCAAGTTCTGATAAGGCTTGAATCTCCTTCCCAACCCAGTTCAGATACGAACAAGCTAGACTTTCTCTTCTCTACATATTTGCTTGCAAATCCATTGTGTTTGATCCAGGCGCTCACACCAAACTCTCAATATTTGTGGCCCGAGTCACTTGCCTTTTAACATATTTTGGGATTCTCAAGCTGCACTGTATGATATGGTCAGTCTATGAGAGCAAATGACGTGAGAGTCTCTTGAGAAGCTTACTACTGCACTTTGTTTTGAAGTGTATTTTATGCTTTAAAGACATTCCATATGAGACTCACGGTGGTGGTGCAGCCTTGAAATTGCGGTAAGATTCGGAAGGCGCAAGCAGGTTTTGGATTGCAGTGCCTTTCTCAGAACTATAATTCAGTATCTTGGAGTCAACTGGAATTTCGTGAAATACTGGGAGACTCAAGACACGGAAGTTGTTGTAGTTGCTATAGGGTGCTGCATGAGTTTTGCAGTGTTTGGCAATAAAGAGGTTATAGAGTAACGCAGCTGGCCATAGTAAGCAGATTGAGAGACTTATGAGGGTACCTAGGTAAGATTTAGGCTCAATATTCGAAGAGAATAAGTGAATTGGAGAAGCAATCAGTTGGTGTGATAAGGTATAGTTGAATATTCATGAAGCACTTTTTACTAATTTTTGGTTCATTCAAATTTCCAGTCTATACCATTCCTTACTGCTGCCACAAACATTATAACATCAAGGCACTTCCCATATCCTCATAACAAGCAAGACAAGGCTACAAGAAAACCTGACGTTGAAAGCCCTGACTTTCTCGAACAGCTATTGGCTCGGCTAAAGTTGTGGTAGTCGGGCCTTGTTGCTGTCTAGCAATCTGATTATAATATTTCAACTTTATTGTTCTTTCGCACAATAACCACTTTCGACCACAATTCCAAATTTTGAGAAGAATTTGCACAATACACTTCCAGCAACGACAATACCAATCACACTTTTTTTTGATACTTGTCGCTTTGCGAGAAAAGTAATCTGCTTTTGATTCTATTGTGAGTACTCCAAAGCCTTCATATAAAAGAATGCACTTGCATCCTCCTTGATTTCCCTTGAAATCAAGGTTACTCGAAATTCCAGTCCAGCACAGAAAGCAAACTTCGATCTATCAAAACTCACGATTTTCACAGGCCTTTCAAGCAGATAATTCCAAGTGTCAATCGTCCAAAGTAAGTAATCCTCAGCATCTCCACCATTTTCGTGGTCAATATCGCGACCCTTCCATCTTACCATTTCAGCGAAGAGCCTGCTCTACCAACCTTGAGACCACCATTGCTAACTTTCGTCGCAACAGGATTTTCTCATACACCATATTTGTTGATCAAGATCGTGTGTTTACCATTGAGTGAGTCAAACCTTTGAACTGATTTGAGGGTCACTTGCTTCAACATTCTGCACCACTCCCGCTTTCCTCAACTTCCTTATCCCCACCGCCATTCCACCCTCTCAAGACTGTCTACAGTCATAAATGGCTCTTGATATTCTCCTCCAAAACACATCTTCACGTTTGCTGCCATCGTTTCTTGTACCATTCCTTCTCCGATATCGCACAATTTGATTATCTCATGTATTTCACTCACCTGCATGGTATCTTTCTTCTTCTTCTTCTCCTCCTCCTCCCCCTCCTTCTTCTTCTTCTCTTTCTCTCCTTCGTCTTTCTTCAGCTCAAAACACATACCTCTTTCACTTGCCCCTTTTCATCTGAGTCCTAGCTTTCTCATTCAACATTCATGTATAGCATACCAAGATCAAAGGTCGCATAGCTAACTCTCAGAGTAGCTCTTAAATTTCGACTTACTTATTTTCTTCTAATACATTCGATTTGTAAGTGCTATTGTTTTTCTCTTTCATTCTGACCAGTTGTTGAAAGATTGGACACCTGCTTACACCACAACAGTTTGAAACCAACACTTTGTACTTTCTCTGTCGTCCTTTATTGATTGAAGGCAACTTCAGCGTTCGTACTTTGACGACAATAAGTTTCTGCGGCCTTTTTCTGTCACCAGGACCAACCTAACAGTTTTCTCGATCTACCATCAGTAAGTGTTTGCTGTTGCCTCTGCTTTGTCGAACGCCTCTTGAAATATAATATTTACTTACATTGAAACAGATTTTCGGCGGTCTTTGTCTCTGCGTCCTTTCCTTGGCACCAGAAGCGAACTCACAAATATCTTCCGATTTTTGACCTGTAAGTCATCTCTATCCTCCACGCAGCGAGAATTTTCAGACTGAACAATTACTTACACAACAACAGTATATCAAATCTGAAATCCCTTGGTCGTTCCTATCGGCCCTCAGAACCCTGCATAGCCAGCCAACTCTCAAAAACAAGTTCCAGTGTCTTTTCGATCGACACCGAAGATATAACATCAAATCCTCTTCCTTCATATACCACCATCTGAAAGGATCATGTCTTATTTTCGGTGAGTACTTTCAATTCTGAGCGGCGCCAACTTCGGCACTATATTTGAAAGATTACGCTAACTTACTGAGTAGCCACAACATGCGCTGGTTTGCCAACATACCACTCGCAAGTGTCACCGATTTCAAAAAAGCTGCGTGGCTTGATCTTGCGCTTGCAAGAAAGTTCGTCGGTAAAAAACCATTGATGCGACTTGATTGGCTCGATCTTGAAGTGAAGTCCGTTAGATATAAGCCATTGGGCCAAAATATCGCGGTAGTTCAAGCAGTAGCTCGCAAGAAAGTCGCCACAGACTTTTCATTGTTTCCCGAACTTGCTACCGAATTGCAAAACAAAATTTGGGTTATGGCATCGCTGAAATTTCCACGTTTTATCTCAATCATTGAGGAAGATGTCGATGTTGCCACACACCCCAACTATGACCAGTACAGAGTCATCGGAGCCATGCGTCCAAGACTTTTGTACACTTGTAAGGGTGCTCTATCTGCCATGGCTGGCAGTTATAGACCAATGTTCGAGCTTGATGCGAGCAAGTACCATGGCATAAAGAAGGGCGTTATGGTAAATCCCGACATCGACATCATTGATTTTGTATCTCTTCTCAGCGTTCGAACACCCCCACTAAACTTTGTTGGGGCTCTTTTGAATCCTGGAGAGTTCTCCATGATCCGACACATTTGCCTCCCTATTCAGGAGTTCCATGACAATTTTCAAGCTGTCACTGGAGTTATTCGCAACCTACCTTTACTTGAATCTGTGGTCGTTGAGACTGATCAAGTCGATTTAACACTTCCCAACCCTCTCCACATTGAATTTGTGTTCGCAGACATCTGTTACGCTAGACCTGGCCGAGCACCACGCACTGAGATGACCATAATGGTCAAGCATGGCGGTTTCCATTTCATCGGTGCACAGGCCATCGGCATACTTTTCAATGACGTTACCAACTTAACTCATCAAGCTGGCATCCTTGAGTCGTTGGCAAAGATGAACTCAATGATGCGCCAGGAGGCAAATTTCCCCAACAAGGTCCTTGCGTCATTTAACTATCGCAATTCCTGATGAAGTATCTTGCATTCTTTCCGTTCTTTTCCAAGGTACATGATTCACCCTCTTGCCGAATATCTCGTGTCTTCACTAACATCTCGCAGATTTGAGATTTACTCGACATATTTGTGATTTCCCAAATACAATGGCTAGGGTCTTGCTTTGTTACTTTAATGGCTAATAACTTGTATCACCGTTTGTGGTGGTAGAATGTTTCGAAGTTGGTGCGTTGGATGCGATCGGTTTTTGCATCTTCTCTAAGACTATTTTGGTCAATGAGCTAGCAATACTATTAGCTGAAGACCTAATGAACCAATGTATACTTGATTTCAAATGCAAAACTTCTTTTTATATGACCGTGCCATGATAACTGTATAATGATGATCCCATGAATCTGCAGCAAATGCTTCCTTACCTCCCCGAAGTCGTGGCAGATTTGGAAAGAAAAATTTGACAATATGTTACATTAAGGTAAAGCGAGAAGTTAGATTTATCCTCGATCCCATTAAAACAAACCACAGTAAGCCCAGCACTCTTCAAGGAAGCATTCCAAGTACTTGATCAGACTTAGACCAGCTTTGACCGAGAGGGTGGGCAAAATACATGCCATCAAGCCAGGTTGTAAAGAAAGATACATCCTCGAGGACCGTTATTCAACGATGGCTCTGGGAAAGTCTCTAGAGCGATCGCGAGGAAAGGCACCAAGTGCAATGATAATGGCCGAAGAGACCTCGTCAATAATGGCGGCCACTGCGCCTATCGAGCGCTGCTGCTCGGAACTTTGAAGAGTGGCGTTAGCTGACCTGGACAAAAGAAAGTTATTAGTTGAGATATATCAAGGCCAATAAATGTTCAGGGAGTAGAAGTTATGTACCTTAATTGTATGTCAATTCTGATGGACGGTAAGTTGATATTCTCACAGTAGTGATGTCCAAAGTTTCGGAGTTTCAAAAGTTTGCAAAGGTTCTGTAAGAATCTGACCCCAAGGTAGTTCAGATTGTTGTTAAAAAAGTGTTCTTTGAAACAAAGACATCAAAAATGGGTTATCCGAGTTATACCTGATAGAAGGTTGGCGGCTAGACGACCACGACCACAACCACAGACGGGGATGGCTAGCCAGCATTGGCCTCTAAATTTTGGATCCCAGACAACAAGGAACAACAGCATACTTACTATGCTATGGTTATAGATTTGGCTTTAACAGTCCATCGCACTGATTCCTTTCTTGCTGTCAATTGTAAGGAAATGGGAAATTTGAAGTTACAGAGGGGCAACTTTAGGTCTTGTGTCCAATAAAATTGCATAGGTCTAGCAACCAATTTCAATCTTGTGCTCTGCTTTGTTGTTCCCAGTATCTAGGTACTTTTACCAAGACTGAAAAGAGTTAGGAGTGATTGTAATGAGAAATGTGGTAGGACATCAAGAAGAGCAATCAGTCAACTCTCCTATTGGAAGCAATTCCTGAACTTGGCATCTTAATTGCCGCTTTAGTCCCGGCAAACATCAGCCGTGGCATGAGACTGAAAGAAGTGGGAGTTGAGCGAGGAAGAAGAAGGGGGAAAAAGCGTAATCGATTACGGGTAGCAATCACGGTGTATAGAGAGGTAGCGGCATTTCGTTGGCAGAACCAGGAGCGTGGCTCGTTTTGTCGGAGAAGATGCTCGGAGGCTAGTCCATGAAATATATAAGTAGCTCTGGAATCGTGGCATCAATGACCTGATGTACTTAATAGATCCCTCTTGCCATCACCCTACCTGGATGGGTTCAATTTGATCATGGCATTCCTGATGACAAAGGGCGATCCTAAGCGCTCGTGAGATAGAGACCAGAATGACTCCGTTCTACATTTATATAGCTGCTGTGGTATTATGTCCACTATTTTGTTGGAATTTTGCTATCTGGTAGTACCGGTATATGTATGCGATGACTGTCTGAGGTTGAAGTCTGCTTGACCTTTTTATACCGCCTTTTTCTGCCAGTACTGTGCTGATTATGTAAGTCGGATGCATTCACAATCTCAAGCTGTTGATCATGACAAGTCAACGATGGTCGAAGTCTCCTACCGGCGCGAAGTTGATGGTATTAAAAAGGATGATGGAACTCCAATTTCGACGAATCTTTTCAAGGTCATCTCACTCAAAAGAACCATTCTAATCACTCAAACGAATTCATATCTATCGCCAGGTACATCGATTTGCAGTTCAATCCGTTATAGAATTCTACCTTTGCTTTTAAGACTTTGTGTTACAATTTTGCTTCGTTTTGCCATTCACTCTAAAGAGCCTATTACTACTCATATAAAAGCAATCTTGGCGCCATTCATGCTCTCAACGCCCATCTTGATCAATTGCAAGAACTCCAACTCAGGATCTCGATTTTCAATCACCTCAAACTTCTGCGTCAGCTTCACCAGGACATAAGCAGCCTGGGTCATAGCTTGTTGCTGAGCAGGGCATATTCTTGGACCTCCATAGAATGGAAGGAATTCCCAATTCATCTTACGCCCAACAAATCGATCAGGCCTAAAACCCTCGACATCATCACCCCAAATGTCGCTGTCGTGGTTCATGCACCATGTGCCAAGCACTACTGGTGATCCTTTGGGAACAAATACCGGTAGTGTTTGATCCTCGCCACCTCCTCTCGGTAAAGTAGTGTCGCGCACGGCAGCTCGCCATATTCTAGCTGCTGGACCAACAGTCCTAATGGTCTCTTGTAACACGTACCTGAAATCTGCTAATTGTTTTAGCTTTTCAAATGACAACGGAGCATCGCCTAGCTCAAGCGAAATGCGCCGAAGCTTTTTCCATTCATTCGGATGACGAGCAAGCTGGAAAAGGGCATTTGCTACTAGCCTGGATGTCACATCCCGTGCCGGTGCAAAGAAACCTAATAAGTGATACCGAAGCGCAATGGGATCTCGGATCTGCTTAGCCATCTCGTGCAACAGGACATAACGCTTTCTCTCAGAAGGTGCGCTATCGGGATCCGTTTTGGCAGTGTCTTGAAGAGCCAACTTTACTTGTTCGTCTACAAATCGATGGACTGTCTTGTATGACTTCTTCCAATCCGGATCCTCAATGAGTCGTTGATAGTGGAACTGGAACCATGGTGCGTCGCGCCGAGCACTGACCCCTTTCAACCCCGCAGTGAACGCATCAGTGAACTCAATACTCTCAGGCGAGCCTTGTAGTCCATCCAAAGAGCGTCCAAAAATAAAATCCATAGAGGTATCTAGGAACTACGTCACCAAAATGTCAGCGCCTAATTACACAATATTTCTGCGAGCCACATACTAGTCTATGCAGCAACGGTTGAATATCAAATGTCTGTCCCTTTTCCGGAATCAACTCCAAAAACTTGTCTACACAAGAAGCAAAAAAGTCGAGATCTGATAGTTCTGCCCTTGCGAAGATAGGTTTTGCTAAATCCCTCGACAGGATCCAAGCAGGTCCATCTGAGAAAATACTAGGTCCCAAGAGTGGCCATTGAGCTGTTTCTCTGTCTGCGTCCTTTCCAAAGTCTTCCGCAGCTAGTGCTGCCACATGTTGAACGTTCGTCGGATCACAAGTATTGAAAAGTATCGTACCACGCCAAACTTCCGAGAAAGTCTTCCCGTAAGTGTCGAATTGCGACTTATATAATCTGAAAAGGTGGCCCTCTTGGACTGCCTGAGCTCGTAGACGGGCTAGATCAGTGCCTAGGACATCTTGATGAGGATACTTATTTGGTTCTGCGCAGTTGTGTCGGCGCTTCAGATTCCGAATATTCCTCGATCTTTTCAATTTTGGCCATAACAAAACCAGGGCGATGACTACTATCACGATTATGTATCGTGCTAGTAGTTGTTGTCCACTATGAAATGAGACATCCATAGCGCCCTATACGAACGGGGACTTGAAGGAAGTTTCATTTCCCATGCAGACTTACGATCTTCATATATTGAAGAGCATTACCATCCTTGAAAATGAGAATGCTCGCAGACACAAAACGCATAGCCAGCGCGGAAGCCGAAAATGGTGGCCTAGCTAGGGATTATTTGGCCCTCTGCAATGTCCAAGTTAGAATCAGCAGTGAGCTTGGTGAAGGTTTAATAATTGGTGGAAAATTTATGCAATACGTGACACCTACTCTGCATGGAATGAAGGATCATTGAGGAAACCCACTTCCCCCGAGTTGACTATCACGATAGTCTACCTTCATTTCCATGTAGATGAAAACTTGCTTCATGCCTGCTGCTACTTTCAATGCGGATCCACTAGGGTAGTACAAGGGTCCAGAGATAAGCTCATGTTGGCCGAAAGCCGAAATATCAACGCTAAGTCTAATGTATCGCTAGCGTAGTGCTTGTCTGTGGTAATCAGGCTTATTTGTTGATCTTATCCTTGAGATAATGTTGTAATCTGCACGCTCGGATTCGTTTATTTTGTCACTTCCAGGGTGTTGTATATACCCACAATCTATTTCAGTGGCAAAATTGCCTTTGGGTAGCATCAGCCGTTTATTCCAGTAGATCCTAGTCACTGCACATCCTTGAAATTTATCCGGGTCATTCCTCCTACCCTTGTTTACTAGTGACTACGAGGCAAAAAGCTTCTTGTTCTGTTCTTCGTCTATCTACATGTGTAGAACTTGGCATACAAATCAGTGTTTCGTTTGTCTACATCATTTTCATGAGAGTGTGAGAAAGTGGATAACATTTTTAAGTATGTACGTGCGGTTTCATTGTATTGTGTAGCTCAGAAGTCAGTCCTTCGTTTCTACTGGCTCAATGTATTAACCCGGACCCTTCAGCTGCTACATCTATCTCATGTCCTTTGAGTGTCTCAGTAAATAGTGTCACCAATGCTAGGCGACGACAAGACTCGGTATGTCGGCGATTCTGCAGTCAATGCGGTTCCCGCAGATGCAAACTACGAAGACCCAACACTAAAAGACGGACATTCGCCTCGATCATCCTCGGATGGCACATCTGATAGTTTTATAAGTGACAGTGACAATGGACAAGTCCAGCTCATCGCATCTGATACTACTCATACCCGTGAAGAAGGAATTGCCTCACGTGAGACAGCAGAGAAGCCTCTTAAAAATGAAAAGGAGAAGCCCGTATCATGGTTTTCTCTGCCCAGAAAAGACCAGCTTTTCATCCTAGCCCTCGCACGTATGGCCGAACCTATAGTTCAATCGAGCATCAACTCATACATGTTCTTTATGCTGCGCTTTTTTGACCCGTCACTTTCAGACTCAACTATTTCTTCACAGGCAGGTTACCTCGCTGGGGGGTTCACAGCCGCTCAGTGCCTTACAGCTATGGTATGGGGCCGCGTTGCTGATAAGGCTTCGGTGGGCAGAAAGAATGTGCTCATCATTGGATTGTTAGGCACTTTTACATCCACTATTGGCGTTGGATTTTCTCGTTCTTTTGCGCCTGCGTTGTTTTTTCGTTGTCTCGGAGGAGCTTTGAACGGCAATGTTAGTATCATGCGAACGATGACTTCTGAGATTATCCGCGAAAAAAAGTACCAAACAAAGGCATTCTTGTTAATGCCAATTATGTTCAATGTTGGTATTCTCTTTGGGCCTTTAATTGGAGGTTGGCTGCAAGATCCAGTTCATACCTTTCCCGGTGCGTTTGGGCCTGGAAGCAAGCTTGGTGGCAAAGATGGCGTGGGTTGGATGATGAAATACCCATACGCGTTACCAAATCTATTCAATGCTTTCTTGTTGTTGCTTTCGCTATTCCTTGTAATTCTAGGTCTTGAAGAGGTATTTGAAAGCCAGAGGTCTTGCTTGATTCCACTGACACGCTTTACAGACACACATCGATCGTCAGCATCTCTCTGATCCAGGCCTCAAGCTCGGTCGCTTTATGGCTCGCATTGTTTGCTGCAAATCGTGGGAAGCTAAATATGTTCGCTTAGGAGTGGAAGAAAGCATGAATGATGTTGAAATGACAACACCTTCCGAACACAATACAGAACCCAAGAAATCATACAAGCTACGTGCAAAGCTGCCTCTCCGACACCTACTTCGTCGTAATGTTATCGCTACCATGATTGCTCATGGGCTTATACAATGCCACACAAGCGCTTTCCAAAATCTTTGGTTCTTGTTTCTGTCTACGCCTCGCTTCAACCCTGCCAGTTCAGAACCGTCTTATACACCAC